ACTCGATGTGACTCGGATCACATACGTTTTTTAACCTCATTATTCATTATCGGTGACAATTGGAAACTCTAGTGACAAAGCAGTAAACCAGCGGCCGTAAAGTTATTTCGCAAGATGACAGATCCTTCCAGGAATCTAGTCACCAGCTTGAAAGCAACGGGTAAGAGTAAGACTGAGGAATGCAAAGGCAACTGCTAGTCTCCACAAACTGAAGATGAAAGTATCTGACTAAAATACATAAATATTTATAGGCATGTACACACACACATATATATACATACATATATATATACATATATATATATATATATATATATAGATAGATAGATAGATAGATAGATAGATAGATAGATAGATACACATTATGTGTATATAATATATATATATATATATATATATATATATATATATATATATATATACATATGTATATATTGTGTGTGTGTATTCGTATGCACACACACACACACACACATATATTATATATACATATATATTATATATTATATATATATACATATATATATATATATATATATATATATATATATATATATATATATATATGTGTGTGTGTGTGTGTGTGTGTGTGTGTGTATGTGTGTATATGTATGTATGTATGTATGTACGTATGTGTATATATACTATACACACACACATACATATATATATATATATATATATATATATATATATATATATATATATATATATGTATATGTATTTATATATGTGTATGTGTTTGTGAGTACACACACACGCACAGAGGCCAGCTAATGTTGGAATGGTCAGTTACAAGAACAACTGTGCATTGTGTGACCTAGTGGATTTTAACATGCGTGGGATGGCAGCCACGACAACACGCGCAGAAATAAGCAAATATTTGCGGGAAGCTACATTGCCGGAATGTAAATGCTCGCCTCTGAATGTCAAATACTCGATGACCTGAAAGACACGAAAGCAATCTCCGTTAGTAAGAAGAAGAAAGATAATTTTCTAGAACAAAAGTATTCTTAAAAACAGAACCATATATCCGAATCCCAAGACTATTGGAATACACTAGGTCTCGCCCTCTACAGCTGTCCGGTCGTCCAGGCAGCGTCACCCTCACCCGCCCACCCGCCCACTGCGATGGCCAGGCAGAGAAACGGGTATTTCACCCCAGATCCCCTCCCCCTCACCCTACCTCCAGTTAACTCCAAGGTCCTGCCCTCAGGTACTGTGCTGCGCCTCTGCAGTGAGCATGGGCGTGGATCTGTTTGCGAAGAAGAGATCAGAAAATTAGCAATGGCTTTTTTTGGATTATGTTCACAGTTATATGCCTTCCTTGGAAATCACCATGACAAATAATTCATATGCATGTCCAGCTTGTAACCTTTCCAGCAATGAGGGTGCCACTGCTCGCTCTAAGTAATCTAATCGCGTTTATCGGCGTAAACGAAGCTTTGATATGCTCGATCCGTACCGATCTTCATGCGGTATAAGCCTCGTTACACACTAACCCTCAATCATGAAGGAGCCAGTGAATGAAACATGATTTGTGGAAGAAAATGATTTCCTGGCAACCGCGCGAGATATCCAGCAGGAGCGCGGGCCACAGACCTAGTCAGTCTCGCAGCAACTACTGAACACACACGCACCTGCTTGCAAACCCGCTCTCTAAGTCACGCTCTCCTGCTCAAAACAGGCATTCACCATGGTAAGTGTTAGAGCAGTTGTTCAGTGCGCAAATTTGCATAACTCGACAGTGAAAACCGTACGATAAATATTTACAGCGAGTGTGTAGCTGTAGAGAAAGTGTATGGCGCCGCCCACCCCCTCCCTCCCCGCCCGCATCTTGTCTTAGCTTTCACTTCCTGCTGAAAAGAAAAGTTTTCAGCTCGAGTGTTGCACAAAACCATTCCATTCGACGATCCCCCTGCTTTCTCTGTATCTCAGTTGGAAAATGCGCAAACAAGAATCTAAAATTAGGTAATGCCTTCTTGCTGTTGCGACAGCCGAGTGTATCGCTCAAGGTTACCGCGAAATCTAGCAAGATGCGTATTTTCACTTTGCTACTGCCATACACATGTGTTAAGATACAGTCAAGGAAAAATATCATAATCATTAGATATAGATAAAATAGACTTTAGAAGGAATGCCTCTAGAGGGTTAGACGGTCATCAGGTCCAGCGCGTGGGCAGGGAGGCTCTGGAGCGGGAAGTGAATGCCAATGACGTCATTTGGAAGGGGATGAAGAAACACCTTTTTGTCCTCCGTTTGGTTCTTCCGCCCGTGTCGCTTAGTTTCCCTTGGTTCTTGGCGGAACAACGACGCAAACAAAAACGGAATTCCATCGACTCTATTGAATCTGGAGGAAGTAGGGAAAACTCGGTCGAACAAATGACGGAAAGGGTTAGAAGAGAAAGTGACGGACCAGAATCCACAACTATGATAACAATCGGTGTGGTTTTGTCTGGAATTGAGAATACCAGCGATTTTACCTCTTTCAAATCCAGAA